GGATTCTCCCCATAACAACCTAAGTTTTGCCTTGTGATCTTCAGCCAGCCCCATCCCTTACAAATAGTCAGGGTCTCATTGCTGTGAATGTCTCTATCCTGGGCTTACCTTTTCCTCACTACCTTCATGGAGTAACACTCATGCTGCCATCTGATAGAGCATCTTAAACCTTTGAGATTTACATTTCATACACTTTATCTTAGTTGAGCCTCACAATACCTACATGAGGTAGGTAATAATAATAATAATAATAATAATAATAATAATAATATTGTCCCCATTTTACAGATGAAGAAAGTAGAAATCAGAACTTTAAAGAGCTCACCTGTGATCACCTAACTAGTAAATGTTAGACATAAGATTCAAACCCCCATCCTAGTGCATTTTCTAGTATATACCATGATGCCTTTAGCCAATGTTACTACCACTGTTCACTATTGTTACTGTCACTATCACCACTGCCATGGGCAAAACAGCATGGCATAGAGGGGCAGCCTTGGAATGAACACCTGGGTTCAAGTGCATCTGAGGTACATACTGGTTGGATGACCATAGGCAAGTCACTTAGTCACTCAACATACCTGAAAATTATCTAAGGCTTTAAGGGATAGGCAATATGCAATCTTCATCAGTGAATGGAGTTTCCATATCAGAAATTCCCTAGACTTCTGAAATTAAAGAACTGGACTAGAATTCTGGAAAGCATTTTATAACTCAGAAAGCAAGACACTGTGCTGGATGCTTGAGAAAGGAGGTAATGCAGAAGAAGAACAATGACAACATTGTTCCTGATCTCAAGGAGCTCACTAAAGTAGAAAGACATATACCAGATATACATTGTACACATTGGAATCTGATGATTTTAGAAGAGGGGCACAGGGAACTTATAGATAGTTGGTGAATCTGCTGGAGAGTCAGCATAGGTTATACCTTTTTGATCTCCTGTCAAGTGGGAAAGTACAGGAGAATGGGGGCTTGGACAGGTCAGGAGACTTGCCCTCTACTTCCTACTGAATCAAATTAGCAAAGCCACTTACCCTCTCTGTGCTTCAGTTTTGCACTATAAAAAATAAAGATAACCTGCATTGTTTATCTCCAAGAGAGAATATGAACCTCAAATGAATGAATAGATATGAAGTCATTTTGAAACATTCAAAAGTACCAGGTAATTGTCTATTGTAATTGTAATTGTCTTGGGCAGCTAGGTGGCATGGTGGATAGAGTCCTGGGCTCAGAGTTGGGAAGACTCATCTTCCTGAGTTCAAATGTAATCTCAGGTACTTACTGTGATCCCAGGCAAGTCATTTCATCCTGTTTGCCTCAGTTTTCTCATCTACAAAATGAGCTGGAAAAGGAAATGGTAAACCACTTCAGTATCTCTGCCCAAAAAACTCCAAATGGGGTCTTAAAGAGTTGGACATGACTGAAAATGACTGAATCACAAAAGAAATTTTCTAGTGTAGTTATTATTAGGCTATTAACTATGCTAATTTGCAGAAAACATTTTAGTGAGATGGAAGAGAGGCTTGAGTTCAAAACTCAGTGTTGCTCTTTAAACTTTCTGCATCTCCGTTGCCTCATCTGTGAAATAAGGCTGTTCGATCACTGTTTCCTTCCAGCTCTAAAGCCAGTGATAAATCATTTCCCTTCTCTGGGCTCTTGTTTCTCGTGTACAAAGAGGAGTTTGGGCTAAGGACCTTTCCAGGTAGGTTTCCTATCAACAGAAACATTGTGGAAAAATAGGAAAATCTTGCCTCCTCTCCAATTGTGAAAATGTCATAGGCTGTGCTCAGTATGAGTCTTTCAGAAAATCCTCTGTAACCAGCTCATGAAACTGATGTTGTATGGAGCAGTGATGGAGCCCTGCTTGCTTGGCATTGCTTTCAAAGGTCCTCTTTTGGGAAGTTGCTATTTCTTAAAATCTCTTACAATTATTATTGAATTCTGATGAGGAATATTTCTACAAATAAACACATTTCCTAATTAAAAGCTGCATTTTGAAGACCTAAATTGCCTTTCCCTTAATCTGTTCTTTTGTTTTGCATTATATTTTGGAATCAATAAGGCCCATGGAAATGGGACTTATTTTTTAATACATATAATTTAGGGAATATTAATACTGGGTCTTCCCACATAATAAACCTACCCTTAGTGCAAAAATAAGAATTGTGCTCTTTGTGATGACACTCCCTGATCGGGGACATACATTCATTGTGCGTTCAAAGGTACATCACCAAATGCTGATATTCAGATGCATTGCTAAGGGTAGGGTAGGAAAGGGAGGAATCGCTGCTGACATTTCTGACCTAGAGTTCTCAGAGATATGCCATAGATAAACCATTTCTGCAGAGTCACTTGGTAATTTCATCAGTGGTGGATCCCCTTATGGCCAGTGTCCTTGTGTCCCAAACTGCAATTTGGGGAAATTTCAAGGGGCCCAAGTGCTTTATATCAGGTATCATCATACTGTATTCTGATAGGAAGTAGACTCACAATTAAAAACATTTCCAATATGAGAAACCAGGCAGTTTGAGCATAATCATGGAATGCACTGATGTCTAAAACTAGTTCCTTAAACATCATACTCATTGGTTTTCATTTATTCTGTTCAAAGTTCAATCATGGTGGAATGGAAGGACCACTGGACCTGGAGCCAGCAAAGTCCTGAGTTACAAAACCTGTCTCCTACACTTACTAGCTACATGATTAGGGGCAAACCACTTATGTTCTCTGAGGCTCAGATTCTTCTTCTTAAAATGAGTACCTACCTCAGAGAGTTGTTTGTGGGGCTCAAATAAGATAATGTATCTGAAGAGCTTTGTAAACCAAAGGCAGCTAGTATTATTTATATAAAATGTATATAAAATTAACATTATCATGCAAAAGAATGAGATGGTAGGAAATATTCCGGGACTAGCCATCAGCAGACCTGACAAGAAAGTCCTGATCCTGCCATTAACTGATTTTATGATGTTGAGTAAATCATTTTCCCTCTCTGTGCCTTAGTTGCCTTATCTGTAACAATAATTTATAACTACAAATTGAATGCTGTCTTATGGTTACAAAATACTTACCTCCCTAAAACCTGGTGCGGTAACTAGGCTCAGAGAGTTATATGATTCATCCAAGGTCATGTAGCTAGTAAGCATCTGAGTTAGAACACTTCATTCATTATGATTTCAGTTATCATCCTTATCCTCATCATCAGACAGAACCTTTTCCCTTACAGAAACTCCCCTTACCAATGCAGACCCATACTTGATCTATAAATTATTTGCTTAGAAAATTGTCTTGGGGGAATGAGAGATACAGAGCCAGATCTGGAGTCAGGAAGACTTGAGTTCAAATATGATCTCAGACATTAGCTTTGTGGCCCTGGGCAAGTCACTTCACCTCTGCTTCGGTTTTCAAATCTGTAAAAATGGGGCTAATAATAGCATCTACCTTCCAGAGTTGTTATGAGGATCAAATAGGGTGATATTTGTAAAGTGCTTAGGATGGTGCCTGCACATAGTAAGCACTACAAAAATGTTAGTAGTTGTTGCTGCTACTGTTGCTATTACTTGTCCATGATCATAGAGTCAGTATGCATCAGAGACAGGACTGTGAGCTCAGTAATTCCATGGTGCCTCAAAATGAAGGGTTTGAATGATTTGTAAGGTCGGGTCTAGTTCTGACATTAGGATCAAAGAATCTTAAGTTTGGAATTGGAAGGGACCCCAATTTCTGGTCTCCCTCACCTGAATACCTCAGAAGAGTGCTCTTCATAGAACTTTCAGAGGTGGTTTAAAAGGAAACATAAAGGACTTCACTCTAGAGCTAGAAGGGACCACCTAGTCCAACCTCCCAATTTTAATAGTAACTAATACTGATATAGTAGTTTAAAGTTTGTAACAATATACATTCCATTTGAATCTTCTATCTACCCTGTGAAGTACATACTACAAGTCTAGACATGATTTCTTCTATACTGGAACTCCCTTGGTGAAAACTTCCCTCCATGCAGATCAACAACTGGGGGGGAGGGCATCTTAGAGCTGCCTGGGTCATTGAGAGGTTGAGACCTTTGCCCAAGGTCACCCAGCTGATGTGTCAGAGGCGGGATTTGAACCCAAGTCTGCCGGAAGCAAAAGGCAGCTTTCTATCCTCCACTTCATGGAGTGACTCAACAAAATCCAGGCTACTAAGTTAGTGGCAGAGCCACATCTAGATTCAGGTCTCCTGACTCTTTTTGCTCCTCCCACACCACAATGTTCCCTGTTGCACTAGTACTGGAGATCAAAACACAAGAAGGGGGGGGGGGAAATTGCATATATTATTAATTTAACTTTAATTTAAATTTTAAATTTTTAAAAAATACTGCTGGTTTTTATAGTGAGTCAAGGGCTGTTACCATGGTTTGCAGGAGATGCTGATGATCCCAGGAAGGCCACATGTCTTTGGGCATCTCACACAGTGCCCGCCCTGAGGATGGAATCAAAGTTCCCAGCTGTTAATTACATCTGGCAAAGATGCAGCAACAGCAGTAGCAGCAGGACTGGGTGTAAGACTGCCCCCCAAAATGTTGTCAAGTGAGGAATAATCTCAGCTTCCTCTGTGTGTGGAGGAAGAAGAGGAGGAGGAAGAGGAGAGAGAGAGAGAGAGAGAGAGAGAGAGAGAAGAGAGAGAGAGAGAGAGAGAGAGAGAGAGAGAGAGAGCGAGAGCGCGAGAGAGCGAGCGAGAGAGCTAGCTGCTGGTAGTGTTCCACTCAGACATGGGAGATTAAAACCATCACCTGGGCTCCCGGCTAACTCCCCCTCCGCCGCCTCAGTGGTGCAGACCCGTTTAGAATGCATGTGCCTTTCTCTTTCCAAAGCATTGTAGGATTGGCTCCCGCCTTCCATTCATGTAACCTGCGTGTGTGTGTATGTGTGTGTGTGTATATGTGTGTGTGTGTGTGTTGCTAGCTCGCCCTCTCTGTATATGTGTGTAAGAGAGAGACGGGGGAGGGAGGGGAAGAAGAGAAGGGAAGCTATTAAAAAAAATATACCCCAACCCCAAGCCTCAGGATTGCAGCTGTTTAATGTGGGCCAGCAGTCCTACCAGGAACACTTCGCCTGGAGAAACCTGGACCGGCCTTTCGGGTGTGTGTCTGCGAGAGACAGGGGTTTCTTCTATTTCCTCGCGCCCCTCTTGTTATTGTGGAGCCTGCCTGAGAGGATGAGAGCCCGGACCTCCCTGTAGTTGTCCAGTTTGGGATCGTGGAGAGAAGGAGCCAGTACGTCTCGGAGAAGAGTGGCTTTATTTATATAGAAGGAAAACGCACAATTTAATTTTTCCTTCCCTTGCCTTTTGCCCCGGGGAGCCTGCAGACACGGTAAGCCGGCCGGGCTATGGTATATACGGAAAAGTGGCTTTTGTATCCTCGCGACTCCGCTCGGTCTCCCCACCAAGCTCTCTCCCTTCCCCTACGCTTCAAAATCGGGGACGGACCCGGCTGGTGCCGGGCAGATCTTGAATATGGATCTGCCCACAGCCACCCCCCTCCATCCCCTCCCCACACCTTTTTATGCAGCAAGGCACTTAAGGAGAAGCTAGCCTTCCTCGGTGGCGCCTGCAATCAGAGGCTCTCGGGCGGCGGGGTTACTGCCGCGGCCGCTGCTGCTTGGAGGCGGCTGCTTCCCTAGCCGGCTGCGGAGGGCTCTTTTTAGAGCGAACGAGCCAGCCAGCTAGTCTACCCTCGCCGCAGCTCTGGCTCCTTGCACACAGTTGGGCAGTGTTCGGAATCGGTTCTGGGCTCGCGGCGGAGCTGGCATAGCAAGGTGGTGGCGCTCGGAGGATGAATCCACTAGGCGATCACGGCAGCCTGGGGTCCGGAGAAGTCGGGCGGCTTTGGGGGAGAGTCAAGGCGGAGGGTGGGGGCTGGGGAGAGCAAGCTATGCGCACGGTTCCCATGCCTTTTAGGGGCTCCCGCGGGGAATGGGGAGCGGCTGAGGGGGAAAAAGGAGACGGCGTGTAAAGGAGTCTGGCCGGGCTCGCTTCCCCTGGAGCTCCGCGCCTCCTCCCGAAGCCCAGCGCCGGGGTCCGCGGTGCATTCCTGCCCGCCTGGCCGCCGCCTGGGGACATAGCTCTTTCTCCCTCCCTGCCTCAGGAGAGTGCGAGTGAGCTGCGGGTGGAGACGCAGCCGGGAGAGAGTCGAGAAATAGGCTCCCTACGGTGCAGTCAGATCAATGATTACAAGCCTTCCTTCTTGCGATTTCTGTGTGATCATGGAACAGCTTTGGAGGACGAAGGTGGGAAAAGGAGAAGGAGAGAGAAGCCGGGCGTGGGGGTGGGAGTCCCCAGTTGGGTTCTCCTTCCGAACGAAACCCATCAGCTCTCGGGCCCCATCCTCTTCTCTTACTCTGGCACCTAGCCTGTTTACATTGGGATGTCTGTGTTGAAGTCCAGGCTGGATTCTCGGGCTTTTTCTGAGGGGTCTCTGTTGGGCTTCAAGCTCCCCCCCCCCATTTCAGCTTTAGGAAATGTGTTCTGAGTTGAAATGTGAGAATCCTGCCTCAGTTATTTGCTTGCCGCTTCAAAAATGCAGCCTATATAAATTGGGAAACAGCGACTCAGAGTGCACTTGGCTAAGCCTGGAATATTGGTTCTGGAGATGTACTCAGGGAGAAATCTGGAAGCACTTGGATACGAATTCACGAAATTCAACTAGTGAGTGGTCCATTATGTGGTGGGCTTATCTCCTTCCCCTCGGAGCCCCGTGTGCTGCCTTACTCCACCCCTCTCTCCTCCCTCCCCCTTGGGTGATGTTAGAAAGTACTGGAAATTGAACGGCGTTGATATCCAACTTTGAAAATTGGCTCCTCTCTTAGGGCAAGACTTTTAGGAGATTTCTTAAATGGCTTCATGCTGACATAGGTATTCCGACTCGATACTTGGATGGGTCTAAAACTATTTTCAGCAACCTCCTAAGTAAATAACTCCCAGTGTGGAAACCTCTATCAATATGCATTTCTCCCTCAGTCCTGTGTAAAATCTATGTGTTTATATGCCGCATGTTTGAACAAATGAAGAGGTCGACATATAGATACATAAAAAGGCAGAGGTGTAGGAGGTATTGGGGAGGGTGTGTGGAGAGTGCACACACATGTGCTACACCCAAACTCTTACTTGCTGAATAGATGGGAATTATGTAAGTCTTATCTGTGATCAGCAGAAATATTCAAACCCACATTTGAAATGGGATCCTGCCGGTTTTCTCTTTTCCCCTTAATATAAATCAGAGGAGAAACTCATAACCTTACCTTTTGTCACCTAATGAGATCTGCATTTAAGGAAGGAAGGTTGTCTCTCCACAGTACCTGAAGTCTTGAGAATGGAAATTTGAAGCTGACACTGCCTCTTGACAGTTTTCTATGAACTGGGCCTGGCAGAGCTCTTAGATCTCTTTTCTAAAGACTGGGGCAGGGAGGTATGTGAACAGTGCTTGGAGGTGTAGAGGGGAAGGACTCTGTGTGTATGTTAGGGAGGGGTGTCAAAACTACCTGTTTTAAAGGGATCACTGGAAATACAGTGTTCTGTGAAAGTGGGAAGTTTGGGTTCTGCAGTGGAGATCAAAGAGAAGGAAATCAGAGAAATCAGAGCATCCCACGCCCTCCCCAGATCCCATCACTTTCCTCCCCCACCTTTCTTCAACTCAAATGCATTTCCCTTTTTCTGAAATTATCCGTAATTCTTGGTCATAAGCAGAGATGCCTACACTTAAATAAGCAGCCGGGTTCATCCTTAATATTTCACTCTGATAAGTGGGTATGGCCATATGTGCCCAAGTCTTCTACTGGCAAGGCCAGCATCCACTGGGCAATCATAACTGATTTTCTTGACTAATTGGGAGGATGGTGTATGGGGTTACGACTTGACCTCCCCTATCCTCTTCTATTGAACCAAAATTTCTTTCAACTTAATTTATTCCCCTGGTACTTACTGACCCAACTGTCTCACCTTTGGCATCTCTGCCTGAAAGCACTTTTATAGGCTTGGTAGAAAAATCACAGTAGTGGAGTATTTTTGTTTTGCCTCCCCCTCTCCTCCTCCCAGTAGAGGGATAAGCCTCTCTATCCATATAGAATCTTGTAGAACACTTAAGTCTGGGTAACAGTAATCCTGAATGTCCTGTCTCCCTTACCCCAGCCTGCATTAAATAGGTGCCACTGGTATTTTGGCAGGTTTGGACTGCCTGCAACTCCATCTCTCTCCCTGCCCCCCTTCTTAGATCCCAGATCCATCTTAGTCTATTACATGGTATAGGATAAATCCTTGCTCACTCCGCCTGTTCAGGGCCATTAGGATTTCCTGCTGCTGCCATGATCCTTAACAATGCAATTCCGAAGCCAGTACTTATGCATGAGAAATCACTAGGTACTGTAAGGCCATTGACCTTGCTTTAAGGCTCTCCTAACAGGAGATCTCAGCTCTTCCTTTGCTTCCACCCACCCACCCCACCGCCTAGCATCTCTGCTGCTGAGACACCAGGGGTGACTGCTCAAAGTCTTATTTATCAGCGCTGGGGAGATTGGATTTGCTAGAAAGGGGGAGGGAAGGAATTAGGCCTGGAGGGAGGGAGATGCGAGCATTTTGGGAGGGAAGCTGTGACTTCCATGGAGGGTGGGGAACTCAACTAGCAACCTGTTTCTCTCTCAGGGATCCGAAAGGCAGAGATGAGGGAACCCCAAGGGAGGAAGCAAAAAGAGTGTCGGCATGTTGGCAGCTAAATCTCACCAAGCGTTCTCGTTCTCTCTCTCTCTCTCTCTCTCTCTCTCTCTCTCTCTCTCTCTCTCTCTCTCTCTCTCTCTCTCTCTCTCTCTCTCTCTCTCTCTCTCTCTCTCTCTCTCTCTCTCTCTCTCTCTCTCTCTCTCTCTCTCTCTTCCCTTTTTTTCTCTCCCCCCCCACGTCTTTTTTCATTTTTTCCCCTCCTGGGGGCAGCCCTATCTGTCTCAGTATCTCGGCCGGCCTGCCGGCCTGCTTAGCTATCTGTTTGTTGACTCCAGTCTCCCCGAGCCGCTCTATGTCTGAGTTCCCCTCTCTGTACAGCGGTCTGGTTGGGACCCGCTGTTTGCTTGCTTGCTTGCTTTTTCACTATTCGGTCAGCAGTTGGCTTCCGTTTCGAGCTGTGGGTTGGGGGTGGTGGAACGACAGTGGGGGGAGGTGGGTGGAGCTTTGGGTTAAAAAGTCGGCAACCCAAAGGGAAGAAACAGAATCGAGGTTGATCTAGGGCGGTGAGACTGGTCCCAGGACACTCCTCCCACCTTCCTGGGTCTGAGCTCTGTTCCACATTCTGGGATTTAACCCCTGGTTGAACTAGACATCCACCCCCTCCCCCCAACTTGTTCCCTTCTACCCTCAAGCAACTCAGGGGAGAGTATTATCGCAGATGGGAATGGGAACACGTTGCGTATTAAGAGTATCTGTGCGGTTGTTTTTTCTCCTTTGGGTGGTTGTGGGTGTAGGAAGAGAGGAAGAGGACAGAGGCTAGAAAAGTGCCTTCTTTTCAGATGCCTGGAATAGTTGCTTTCTTTTTCCTGGGAATAAAGGAAGAATTGAGAAAGAGCTATCTTTTTTTCTGGTGAAGGTGATGATGGAAAGGGAGTTGAATATCTGTCTTGCATGTCGAGTTACCTGTTTGAGTTTATTTTCTGGTTTCCTGGGGTGAGAACAGACAGAAATGTGTAGTGGCTGTTACTGAATTTTTAAGGCAGGACAAAAATTAATACTTTGTTAAAAAAAATTCAGGTATTAATTGAGGGAAATAATCGTCTTGAATATTTACCTTGAAATGGGTGGGGGCCATATAACTGTCTCTGGATTTGCATGTGTCCAGGGGAGGGTGATCAGTGTCAAGAGGGTTTTTGCAGTTGTATATTCGCACTCATAGCTATATAAAGTTTCTACCCCCTTTTGTCATAGGGGACAGGTGAGGGCAGAGATGGACAGAGAGGCGCAAAAAGACAGTGAATTTCACTTTAGAAGATCTAGATTCATATCCAGCTTTGACAGTTGATTGGACGTGAAACTTCATGTCTTGGTGTCTTGATTTTCTTTTTCTGCATAATGGGGAAATTATTCTACTACCTACCTGACAGAGTTAATGGGAGGAAAACATTTTGTCAACTGTAAAGGTCTATATAAATACTAATAATAGCCAACATTTATGTAGTGGTTTAAGGTTTGCAAGGCTTTTTGCATATATTGTCTTATTTGATCTTCATATCAGTCCTATGAAGTAGGTGCTATTGTTACCCTCAGTTTACCTTTGAGGAAACAGTCTGAAAGAAGTTATATGATGAGCCTGTGGTCATGAAGTTAGGCAAATTCTAGCTC